CCGTTTCTCGCAGCTTTGACCAGTGCCTCCAAACGCCTTTTTTAATTTTTTCATTAATTTTCAATCATTTTAATAATTAATTTTATACTATATTTAAATTAAAACCAAAAACCTCTCCCCCACTGTCCCAATAGGGAACAAACGTAGCCCCCCTCCAGAAGGAAGGACAGTGTCAGAGATGATTGGAGGATCTACAGCCGAGTAATACACAAATAAGAGTTCGGGGACTTCAATGTATTCTAAGACTTCGGAAGGACACATAAGAGATACAAAGTAACATATTCCTTTTATACTGACAAAGATTTTAGTAACAATGTAAAGCAATCTATAGAAACATGTATCCTTATATATTCAACCGTGAACTGCACAGACAGGAAGTGATGTAAGTGAAGACAGGAAGTGATGTATGTGAACAACAGGAAGTTCCATGTGAAAGGTGATTTGGGAGGAAGAAGAGAGGAGACATTGCTGGAACTGGCAGCAGAGGAGGTAATAAGATATTATTTTATATGTACACCCAGTACCCCCTCCCCCCGTCATGTCCGTCCTCATCCTTCATAGTCACTGTGATGTCTTCTATTTCAAGCATTTGTCCATCCAGAGCCATTTATAGACCGGATACATCCTAAATATAGAGCCATTTATCCAACCGTCCATCCAGAGCCGCCATTTATAGACCAGATACATCCTAAATATAGAGCCATTTATCCAACCGTCCATCCAGAGCCGCCATTTATAGACCAGATACATCCTAAATATAGAGCCATTTATCCAACCGTCCATCCAGAGCCGCCATTTATAGACCAGATACATCCTAAATATAGAGCCATTTATCCAACCGTCCATCCAGAGCCGCCATTTATAGACCAGATACATCCTAAATATAGAGCCATTTATCCAACCGTCCATCCAGAGCCGCCATTTATAGACCAGATACATCCTAAATATAGAGCCATTTATCCAACCGTCCATCCAGAGCCGCCATTTATAGACCAGATACATCCTAAATATAGAGCCATTTATCCAACCGTCCATCCAGAGCCGCCATTTATAGACCAGATACATCCTAAATATAGAGCCATTTATCCAACCGTCCATCCAGAGCCGCCATTTATAGACCAGATACATCCTAAATATAGAGCCATTTATCCAACCGTCCATCCAGAGCCGCCATTTATAGACCAGATACATCCTAAATATAGAGCCATTTATCCAACCGTCCATCCAGAGCCGCCATTTATAGACCAGATACATCCTAAATATAGAGCCATTTATCCAACCGTCCATCCAGAGCCGCCATTTATAGACCAGATACATCCTAAATATAGAGCCATTTATCCAACCGTCCATCCAGAGCCGCCATTTATAGACCAGATACATCCTAAATATAGAGCCATTTATCCAACCGTCCATCCAGAGCCGCCATTTATAGACCAGATACATCCTAAATATAGAGCCATTTATCCAACCGTCCATCCAGAGCCGCCATTTATAGACCAGATACATCCTAAATATAGAGCCATTTATCCAACTGTCCATCCAGAGCCGCCATTTATAGACCCGATACATCCAAAATATAGAGCCATTTGTCCAACCGTCCATCCAGAGCCGCCATTTATAGACCGGATACATCCTAAATATAGAGCCATTTATCCAACTGTCCATCCAGAGCCGCCATTTATAGACCGGATACATCCTAAATATAGAGCCATTTATCCAACTGTCCATCCAGAGCCGCCATTTATAGACCGGATACATCCTAAATATAGAGCCATTTATCCAACTGTCCATCCAGAGCCGCCATTTATAGACCGGATACATCCTAAATATAGAGCCATTTATCCAACCGTCCATCCAGAGCCGCCATTTATAGACCGGATACATCCTAAATATAGAGCCATTTATCCAACTGTCCATCCAGAGCCGCCATTTATAGACCCGATACATCCAAAATATAGAGCCATTTGTCCAACCGTCCATCCAGAGCCGCCATTTATAGACCCGATACATCCTAAATATAGAGCCATTTGTCCAACTGTCCATCCAGAGCCGCCATTTATAGACCGGATACATCCTAAATATAGAGCCATTTATCCAACTGTCCATCCAGAGCCGCCATTTATAGACCGGATACACCCTAAATATAGAGCCATTTATCCAACTGTCCATCCAGAGCCGCCATTTATAGACCGGATACATCCTAAATATAGAGCCATTTATCCATCTTCCATGAAGCTGTCTCGGGGGTTGTTGGCTCTCCTCTATAATGGACACCAGGTCTTCCCTGGAGAGGAAGAAGACGGATCTATAGAACAAGTTCTAATCTAGGCAGCAGAAGGAATGATGATCCCTACAGGACATAGAAGAAGGGATGAAGCGCCAGGTTCCTATAAGGTGTCAGGATGTCTCTGTCTATCTCTCCATGGAGGAGTGGGAGTATCTAGAAGGACACCGGGATCTCTACAAGGACGTAATGATGAAAGTGATGCTATAATTAATAATAATAGTTAGTGGAGGATTGTTGCTTTATTTTTTTTTTGGCCCCTCTTTATAATTTGTTTTCTTGTCTCGGTCATGTGATCCTGAACACCAATCACAGCACAGATGCCCCCAGACCTATTGTGGTGGAGTTGGCCGTCAGCGGTGACATCAATGTCCTCAGTACATTCCGTGTCCAGTGACAGTAATAGGACAGAGCTCACAATATAGACATTCCCGGTAGCGATGCACCAGAAGGGGTTCTTCGGTATCGAGTACGAGAACCGATATTTATATTTCGGTATTCGTAAATAACAGCACTTCTGCTAGCATGGAGCCGGCTTCCCGGCCAATCAGCTTCAAGCCGTCTTCCCGGCCCTATCAAGAAGCCGGGAGGCAGCAAATCAACATGGAGCCAGCAGTTTGACTTCATTACCCGCCGCCCGGCTTCCCGATTGCTCAGCATGCAGGCTCCACGCTGTTTGCTCGGGAAGCCGGGCTCATGTTCCGACGCGGGACTGATAGAGCAAATCTTCCTCTGACTGGAAGTTCTGGTACTGGCTTCAGTATCGGGGCATTTGGGCGAGTACCAGTAATATAACATACAAATCAGTCGGAGGTCTCCTGTCTATGGAGGAGCGCCGAGCAGACGACATACATCCCAGAATATTCTGGATCATTATCAATGTATTATCTGTCCGCAGGGGGGAGTGTCCTGTAGAAACCACATGACCACTTTATGTCAGTGTGTGTGTTTCCTACAGATGGATCCAGTAAGAGGAACCCACCAAAGAGATGTCCCCGCCCCCTGTATTCCCAGGACCCCACCCAGGAAGATCTCACCATCCCCCACCATGATCAGGTAGGTGGGACTGAAGGACAGCAGGTATACAATCATTCTATAGTATGAGATGACATTCCTCTATATAATCTCTTGTTCCTTTTTACAAATGCGTTCGATCATCTTGGGAGTTTAGGGTGAAGATATGAAAGACCTAAAAGTTAAGGTGAAAGTGGAAGAAGAAGATACATTTGTTAGGGGGACCCAGCAGCCTTCGGAGAAGGCTAGTCCTCTCTATTCCCGGGATTCCACACAGAAACATGCCACCATCCCCCACCATGATCAGGTAGATGGGACTCAATCTGAGATGACTTCTTTCATGTAATCTCTTTGTTGGTGAAGACTTTCCAGTATTGTTTTATTTGCTCTCTTTGCCATGTAGGCCGTGGAGCTCAAAGACCTCAAAATCGAGATTAAAGAGGAAGAAGAGGAGACGTTGGTGAGAGGAGCTCAGCAGTCCACGGAGGAGGGGGAAGGGACATTGAAAAGCACACAGGGGAAATCTTTTCTCCATATTGACACAAGTAAGTCATAGAAAATTTGGGTCAAATTTTAATTTTACATCGGGTGTAAAAAGACAAATGTCCATCGGGTTCATCCTATACCAGTGGTTGTCCCAGATAAGGGCAGAAAAAGAGATGACTTCCAGCATTCCACAATGTAATTGTTTAAAAATATTACCAGGCATTTACATATTTCATATCTAGAAACATTAAGATTCAGCGTTCCAGTGATATGCTGAGTCAGCTAGAACATGTTCCTGTAGAGGACCGTGTTACATTTCCCCAAACCTTCAGTGGGGGACACTGCAGGCCACTCGGTGTAAGCTCCGTCACTAGGTGTTCAGACAGTTGGAAAGCAGAAGGCCTGAACCCTCCGGAAGGACATCTCCCTCTGCACAGGAAGTCAGCACCGGTTTAGCTTAGCGTCCTCATCAGCCGCCAGCAGCAATACCCAGAAACATAGATCCTTCAGCAAGACATCTCTGTCTGGAGAACACCCAACATTAACCTCAGGGTATCATTGTAGAGTTTGCAGGTCCACAGACTGGTTGTTGACCTTCTTATGGATGAAGCTCTTCTCAGTCCACTCATTCTTGTTTTACTGTTATACATATTTACTCTTCTCAAGCTAATTTCATGTCTCTATAAGAAAGACCAATTTGAAAGGTATTCCTGCTATTCTAGTGCCCCCCCACTAGCCACAATTTTTTGGGGGCATTCAAAGGTATTATTCCTGATTGTGGTTCCTCAGTATAACGTCATGTTCTCCACAAATATGGAAATACTGTACACCATATGAAGGTCCATCTCCATTCCTCAATATAATGTCATGTGACCAACACATGAGGAGGAGATACTGTACACCATATGAAGGTCCATCTCCGTTTCTCAGGTGGTTAGTTCCATCCGGAGCTCTGACACGCTCTTTAGTTCCAGAACAACATATATGACACCTGAATGATGAATATTTCTTGTTCTCCACCAGGTGGTCGCTATGTCTGGAATACCTCGGAGGGACATCTTACTTTATCTTCAGATTGTAATGCAAAGGATTACCACATCGTACAATATTCTCCAGACGTAAATCCCATTACTAGTATTCCGGATCCATCTAGTTCTAAGGGATCTTTCAGCCACGACAGAAATCACGCAGTGCAGCGTTCATTGTCATGTTCGGTGTGTGGGAAAACTTTTGCTGAAAACAAAGACCTTCTTATACACAAGAGAAGTCACACAGCTGAACGTCCCTATTCATGCTCAGAGTGTGGAAAGTGTTTCACGGAAAAAAAAATACTGCTGAAACACCTGAGAGGTCACACTGGTGAGCGTCCTTTCTCGTGTTCACAGTGTGGGAAATGTTTTATTCACAAGGGAGATCTGCTTAGACACGAGAGAATTCACATGGGTGAACGTCCTTTTTCATGTCCAGAGTGTGGAAAAAGTTTTATCCACAAAGGTGACCTTCGTAGACATCAAAGAATTCACACAGGCGAGCGCCCTTTTTCATGTTCAGAATGTGGCAAAAGTTTCATGCACAAAGGAGACCTTCTTAAACACCAGAGAATTCACACAGGTGAACGTCCTTTTTCCTGCTCAGAGTGTGGGAAAAGTTTCACTGAGAAAGGCACACTTGTTACCCACCAGAGAATTCACACGCGTGAGTATCCTTTCTCTTGTTCAGAGTGTGGGAAGTGTTTTGCTGTTAGAGGAAAACTTGTTATACACAAGAGAAGTCACACAGGTGAGCGTCCGTTTTCTTGTTCTGAGTGTGGAAAATGTTATTCCGGCAAAGGAAAACTTATTGCTCACCAAAGAAGTCACACAGGCGACAGCCCTTTCAAATGTTCAGAATGTGGAAAACGTTTCAACCAGAAGGCAGACCTTCTTAAACACCACAGAATTCACACAGGCGAGCGGCCTTTCTCATGTTCAGTGTGCGGAAAGTGTTTTGTTCAGAAAGGAAACCTTCTGAAACACCAGAAGACCCATGCGGCGCAGCACCGAGAGCCACAAACACAAGATGCCAAATGAATAAATGTTCTCTTGTTGCGTTTTTTACATTTGAAATGACTTCACTTACCCTGCGAATCTTCCTTCGGGTGATTGTAAATGTCACACTCTTGTGTTGTAAATACTGTGAAACATGAATACGGGGTGGGAGCCTTCTTATGTTTAGGAGCGGGAAATGTTTTATTTGCACACCAGAGAACTCACGTGAGCTAGTTTCTCCATTCATGTTTAATGTGCGGGAAATGTTTTAGAAATCTACTTGGGCATCTGCTGATGCTCTTGGGAAATGTATGGTGGCTTTCAAGCCTTTAAAGAACTTTATAGAACTGTATAGTAAAAATTAAAGGGGTATACCCAGGCTCAAGTCATAGTTCAATATTTGGTGGAGTCTGTTTTGCATTAGCTGAAGGTGCCAATCGGCTTTTTCTTTGTGGTGAGATCTTCCCGCTACAGTCCCAGTCTCTGTTACCTCCACCATTGAGCCGACCTCGTTCTACCTCCAATGAAGGGAGCACTTCACAATGTGTGCATCAGGAACTCAAGAGAAGGACATACCAGGGAATGTGTCTTTGGAGTGGTGGAGGGGCAGATGGGTCTAAGCAGTTGACTTGAAAAATTAGGGGCGTGTAGAACTAATGTTTTAGGGGCGTGGCTTCATTGTTATAGCAATGAAATAATAACATGGTCTTCAACACAAAGAGTTCTGACGTGGTCCCAGTGCACCATGAACTGTGGTAAGACGTGGCCAAATGGGTCAAGTCAGCGATGGTGACAATCAATAGGCAGTCGTCCTGATACAGAGGCAATGAAGAAGCAAAACATAAGGAAGAAAGTGGAGCCGGATCGGCCGGTTAGTTGTATATAAAACTATATGTACGGATGGAGGCGACTGGGTGCAGAAAGCACACTAAATATGTACAAAAACCCAACCATCCAATCAGGATTCATCTCTCACCAATGGACAATGAACTTATTACAGGGCCGCTATTGGCTGCCGCATGTCACAGCGCTTAGTTTTTTTTTGCTTTTCATCTTTAGTAATATTTGAGTTGCTTTTACTTCAGCTATAAAAATGTATTTAGATTTCAACCTCATTGTGTGTTATGTGGTGATGCCGATCTCTCTAATGTCAATAAAAATCCTCCACAATCTATAATGTTCTGTGTTCTTCTTCATAGACGGGGGAGCTGTCAGAGAATGTAGTGTGGATAGTGTTAGGAGAGCT